CACTATTTATGTGAATATGCACGGGATTACAGTATTATGTGACTACAGTATTTATTCAGTTTATTGCCTCTTGGTGGCTCAGCAGTTAGCTTGAGGGTTTATAACACTAAAATGTGGAGTTTGATTCCTGTGGTGGATACTTCTCAAATAGTCTATTGTGTAGTTTTGTGTTTATATCTAAATAACCAAACAAATCTTCAGTTTATTTACAACCCAACATAAGGTAACAATCACTACAAATTATGTTCTTACACCATAAAACAAAGGTTTTTGTATGGTTCTTATGACTAAAGCTGGATACAGCCCCATACATACAAAAGCACAATAACATAAACCATATTTAAACAATAACTCATTTGACAGGAAATTGGTTCAGAAAACAAATTTTGATTAAAAATATTTTTGTGCAATTTCTTAGATGGTGATTTTCTTGTGGTCACTAGTGATGGACATGTGAACTCATCTATACCCTGCTATCGTGTGACTGTTAAAATATCACAAGGTAAGGTGTTTTTGCTTATTATGAAGCAGGTGTTAGCTCTGCCTATGTAGGGATGGCCCGGTTTGTTCATCGAAATGGTGTTTTAAATATCATAATAATAGGTCATCAGAACTTTACAATACTATACAATGTTTCCTTTAATAATAATATCTACATAATGGTTGAGTCACAAGTTCTGGAAATATCTGTAAGTATCATAACAAAACGTTTGAATTTCTTGTTTTTTTCCGATGCTTTTCTTTTATTACATGATAACTCAGAAACCAAAACAATGGTGTCAACAGTTTCACTAAGGTGACATAGTTTCAAACATAGTATCTCCTTTTATAAGTATTATTAACCAGTAGTAATTTAAAAACAAATCATAATTCTAGTGTAAATGATATTATCACTACCCCTTAAAGTTAGCTTTCTTACAGAAATTTGGTGTTGCTATAAAAAGTTTAAGTAAGGGGTGAAACAGGAAGTACCAGCCAATAACAGATAAACAATAAATATTACAGTTGGAACCTCATTGTATTTAGAACATAGCTATAAATACAACTGTGCATGTCAGTTAGTGAAATAACTCAGCAGACATAGTCGTGAATATACAGCTGCAAGATGAATCCCTGCTTGATGTGTTTTTGAGGGAATAGCATGATAAATCAGAATTTGGCTGTACTTGTCAGCATTTAGGGTTCCATCAATTTTTTATAGATCACCAACGCCATTGACTGAGATGCAATCCCTAATTTTTACTGATCTCCCACATGCTTTACTGCAGATGCTGGACACTGACTATGTTTCTGTTAAATAGTCTGTCATTGGTTATTGCCAAACAATTCAACTGTAAAGAACTCATGTCTCTGATTTTAATCATTCCACTGCTTGTCACCCATTTCAATCTTTTGGGTTAATTACCTCAGCAGAGATCTTGAAGCAGTTACAGGTCCATTGTTACCTATGTATCTTGCTGTTCTAAAGGCAAATTCACACTTGTATTTCCAGCAGGATCATTGACAAGATCTGTACTCAAATTTCATCTATCTTGTAAAGAACGTAGCCAGTGATACTTAACATCACTTTTGGAGATTTTTGCTCTTCTACCCTGATCTCTTCTATTATTAGCAGTGCCAATTTAACATGCCCTCTTCAGTCTTGTATACAGTTAGTACTCAGACATCAAGTTTTCCCACAAAATTTTCATAAAATATTCTTGATTAGCTAAATTCATGATTTTTATATGCTTGTCATGTGTTATTTCAGAGCAGTGGCATAGCAAGGGTTCTAAGCACCCAGGGGCAATGACACTTTTGGCGCCCCCACCT